TAACATGGGGCATGTTTACATTAACCAAGCCAGATACTAATTTACTGAGATTTCAGGCAAGTGTATATTCTCTTAGATTACCAATTTCTCTTGCTCTAAAAATCACTAAGAACTTTGTGAAACAGATAGATACAAGGGCCAGGAGGATTGCCCCATAGCCGGAAGCCTACCTCATGAGCAAAGGGGAGAAGGCAGCTGGAATAGAGAAGGGATCACTAAGAAAAAGATGGATGGAGGAATCAGTCGGGATGGGAGATTTGTGCTGAAAGTAGATAATGGACCAAACATGATGACCTCTGAGTATCTGCATTGCAAACCACAGTGCCCAAACGTAGAGAGAGATTACGGGGAATCATGTCTGCCATGGAGGCAGGGGGAGGGGGGGAAAGGGGGAGGTATACTGGGGATATTGGTGGTGGGGATTGTGCACTGATGGAGGGATGGGTGTTTAATCATTGTGTGATTGTAACCCAAGCATGAAAGCTTGTAACTTTCTCACGTTGATTCAATAAAATTTTTTAAAACAGAACTTTGTAAAACAGTCTTTGAAAACTTAAATGTATAACCTTAATTTATGTATAGATTAAATATATTATAGTTAGAATATGTTCTGACTTCCTGGGCCACTTGGAAACTTGTTTACTATCATATGTAAAATCTTGCTGAACAAAATAGCTGTTCTTTCCACAGCCTGAGTCATAAACTGGATCTGTTTTATTTCATTGAAATACTTATGAATTCAGCATGGTGAGTGAAGTCAGCCAAAAGAAGAGAGATGGATATAGAATGATCTCTTTTGTATGCAAGATAAAAAGAAACATGGGAAATGAATAACAAAATGCCAAAGTAATAGAATCTAAGAACTGGTCTACAGAATTAAGCTAGCCATGGCAGGGAGATGGGGGGAAGGAATGGGGAGCTAGTTAGGCGAGGACCCTGACAAATACATTTCTAGAATTATGTAGAAGGACACTTTTGGTGGTGGGGTGGGGTGTTGGAATGTTGCATTCATAAAACATTGCCATTAACAGTTTTATAAAATTTTAAATCATGGTGACCAAAATTCTTTCTTTTTTCACTTTTCTTTTTCTTTAATTTTTATTAGTGAGACATCATGAGGTACAGTTGTAGACTTACAAATTTTGTGCTTGGGTTTCAATTATACAATGATCAAATACCCATCCCTCCACCAGTGCCCATTTCCCACCACCACGAATCCCAGTATCCCTCCCACCCCCCATCCCCACCATCCCATCCTGCCTCTGTGGCAGGGCATTCCCTTTTGTTCCTCTCCTTTTGGGCCTTGTAGTTTGCACGAGAGGCATTGAGTGGCAATCATGTTTGGTCGATAGTCTACTTTCAGCATGTTTCTCCCATCTTGGGAGGATCCTCCCAACACCCTTTATTTGGTGCTCCCTTCTCTATCTGAGCTCCCTTTCCCCCTAGCATGTGTGGCTGGCCTCCAGGCCATGGAGAAAAATTCCTGGTACTAATCTCGGCCATTCTTGGGTGTTAGTCTCCTATTTTGTTACTTTATACTCCCCAGATGAATGCAATCTTTCTATGTCTATCCCTTTCTTTCTGAGTCATTTCGCTTAACACGATACTTTCCATGTAGTACCACTTGTATGTAAATTTCATGACTCCTTGAAAACCAACTCAGTAATGCTGAAACTGTAAAATAAATAAAAAAATAAATAAAACTGAAATTTGGTCCCAAACTGGGGTAAATAGAATCTTGTGTGATGCCTCCACCTAGTGGCCAAAATGGTATAATCTGGTTCTGTTCTCCGTTTCTTAGGAAAGGATACAGTAGCCTCTTAACAGTGAAAATCAACTGGAAAACACCGTGTTGAATGGTTAGTTGATTCAGATAGAAAAAAAATGAAATTTAAAATATATCTTGTTACAACCAAAAAGCATGGTATTTTAAAATCCATATTTAGAGTTTTAAAAAGTAGCCGTTCCCAAGTATCCACATTTATTCTTAATATTTACCAAAGCATTTCACAAATATTTGCTTCTTTGATTATGCCCATGATAACTGCTGAGATATCTATTTTTCAGATCATCTGGTTAATATACTGATTTCATTAACTCAGTAATCAGGAATGATTTCAAATTCAAATTCTGTTGATTGTTGCGGGGGGGGGGTTGAAGGGAGTTATAAATGAGGGTAAGTTAAATGGAGAAAGTAGTCAATAGGTACAAACATACAGTTATAAATAAATAAGTCATGGGTTATAATGTGCGCCATTGTGACTATAGTTTAAATATTGTGTTACATATTTGAAAGTTGCTAGAATGTACCTTGAAAGTTACGATGACATGAAAAAAAATTGTAACTGTGTGATGATGGATGTTAACTAGATATTGTGATAGCACAGCGGTAGGGCATTTGCCTTGCACACAGCCAACATGGCCGACCCGAGTTCGATTCCTCCGCCCCTCTCAGAGAGCCCGTAAGCTACTGAGAGTATCTCGCCCGCACGGCAGAGCCTGGCAAGCTATGCGTGATTTATTCAATATGCCAAACACAGTAACAACAAAGTCTCCAATGGAGACATTACTGGGCCCGCTTGAGCAAATTGATGAACAAATTGAGGACAGTGACAGTGACAGTGACTCATATATCAAATCGTTATATTCTACATGGGAAACTAATATAATTTTTGTGTAGTTATGCTTTAAAAAGGTTATACAATTGTTGATTTCACATAATTGTAAGTTGCAGGATGATTATCGATGCAATGTTAGCTAGCACTTCTATCATATCCAAAAATTATCAATCTCTTTTGGTAGTGAGAACAGCAATAATCTCTTGGCAACTTTGAGGTTTAGAATGATTACTATTTTTTTTATTTTTGTTTTGAACCACACTACCTCTGACACTACCTCCACTACCCAGCCGCCGCCACACTCCAGGATGCTTTCCGGACCTGCGTGGCCACAAAGCGGCCGCGCAACTCATCATAAGACACAAAATACGCATCTTCCGGAATTGCCGTACCGTATTTGATAGGGTTCAAATATGGTAACACCTACGAGGGCGATTAGAGGTCGCCCCAAAAGCCTCTATCCCTCTCGGAAAGACTGGCAAGCTGCCTAGAGTATTCCGCCCGCACGGAAGAGCCTGGCAAGCTATCCGTTGTGTGTTTGATATGCCAAAACCAGTAATTACAACTGGTCTCATTCACCTGACCCTGAAGGCTTCACCGACATGGCAGCACTGAGAAGGATGAGAAAGGAGAGGCTGATAAAATCTCAAGGCCGAACTAGGCTGCCACAATGAAGGAAGACAAAAATGATTGTCTGTACTTTCAATGCACGTACGCTAGCATCAGATGCATCCATCGAGGACCTGATGGTACAAGCGCGAATGATCAAGTACGACATCATTGGTCTGACCGAGACAAGAAGGCACGAATCTCATCATGCCGTTTTCAAATAGCTAAGAGGACGAAGAACCTCTGGCTCCGGGCACATCTCTTTGATTCCACTGTTCTTCCTGCATTAACATATGCCTCAGAGACCTGGGCCCTCGCCCACCTACCAGATGGTCAGACTTCTTCATCAAGATCATGAACGATTGGTTTAAGGCTCTTCATGTTCCCAGAGCGAACAGATGCCATTGGGCTACACTGGCACATGACAGGGGAAAATGGAGACGTTACTGGCGCCCGCTCGAGCAAATCGACGGCTAACGGGAAGTTAACTGATTTATTTTTATTTTTGAACCACACCCAGCGATGCTCTTGCATAACTCCTAGCTCTGCACTCAGGAATCACTCTCTGTGGGCTCAGAGGAGAGACTATATGGAGATCTGGGGATCGAACCTGGGTTGTCTGTGTGCAAGGAAAACGCCGTACTCACTTCACTATCTTTCCAGCTCAGAATCAGTATTGGCCATATGGAAGTGTTCTTTTTGCTGTTTGACTGTTGGCCTTCTGTTCAGCCCCCAGTGACGTGTTCTTTGTGTTTTGTATTAGACTTGTGTGACTCTTTTAGTTCAGTGCAGTTTTACTATTTTTGTCAAGCAAATTACAAAGACTCCTATATGGATTCATTATACATGAAACCATGAAGCAGCTCATACTGCTACGTTGCCTTCTTGCTTGTGAATGAAGCCCTGACTTCTGGAAATAAGTTTCAAAATTATTCTGGTTTTATCCATACATTAGCAATCAACCTCTGCCTTTTACTTTGAGGTTTTGATTTTGCATTTTTTGTTTTTTTGATGATTGAAAGTTAAAAGAAAAAGAAGGGGAGAGGTTGTTGCTAATACAGAAGTACAATCATTGAAATTCTAAATTTTGCTAGAAGATGAACAGTTTCTATTTATTTTCAATGACCTGTCTATTTAATGTATCACGACCACGATCACGACCATCCTGTTGTTTGTCGATTGCCTCGAGCAGGCCCCAGTAACGTCTCCTTCGTCCTAGCCCTGAGATTTTTTAAAAAGTGCCATATTCAAGGCTCTTTCAGGGTTAGGAGAATGAGACCCATCATTGTTACTGGTGTTTGGCAGTTTGGCAGCCACGGGGAGTTTGCCAGACTCTGCCGTGTAGGCAGGTTACATTCGGCAGCCTGCCAGTTTGTCCAAAGTAGGAATGAGATAATAAGATGTCGTGTGGTCACAAATGTGGCCGCGTGCTTCGGGAATTGGGTTTTACAGTCTCTGAGTCTTGGCCGCCAATGGGATCACATGGCACCAGGGGGCCAGCCGGGTATCAAAAAGATGAATTTTTTTCTTAAATTTTAAATGTCTTAAAAAGCCTTTGTGAGGGGACGAGCAACAGCGGACAGGACTGAGTGCTCTTCATGCAGGAGACTTGGGCTCAAACCTTAGTCCCATATAATCCTCAAGCACCTCCCAGAGCAATCCCAAGCACAGAAGGGAGGAAAATCCCCAAGAATTTCCAGGTGTGCCCCACTGCCCCCCCAAAATTCAAGAGTTGGTAAAGTCCTTAAATGTATGTAATTTTTGTCTTCACAGTTACCGGCTAGTTCCAAAGGTTTATTTTCCTGCACAAATCCAGGATGTTGTACGTGCCACGAAATATTTCCTTCGACCAGAAGTCTTACAGAAGTATTCGGTTGACCCAAGCAGAGTTGGCATTTCCGGTGACAGTGCTGGGGGAAATCTGGCCGCAGCCTTGGGCCAACAGGTAAGAGAACCAAACTCCCCCAGCCCCCTGCCCTGGGCTGTTCTGCTAGTGGAGCATGCAGTCAGATACAACAGACCAACAAATTCTCCATTCCAAAGGCAAAGGCTTAGCCAGAGCACTGGTCCCTAGGTGGACTAAATACTCAGATGCCTTCATATGGATAACTTGAAGAGATCTGTTTGAAGTAGGAGGAGCAGTGAGTGTCCTCTCTGAATCTTTTTTGTAAAGACCCCCTGATGGCAGTGTAAAAGGAGAACTGACATTTAGCAGGCTACTCTGAACCTTAGAGACATGTATAGACATTCAGTACCCCTCAATCCTTTTATTTTTTTGGATTCCAAATTGGAGTCTTTAGTTTAAAATCCAACTGGTAAAGGCCAGAGTGGTAGTACAGTGAGTAGGGCACTTGTCTTGCACATGAACCAACCCAGGCTCGATTCTTGGCATCCCATATGGTCCCCAAAATCTGGCAGGAAGGATCCCTGAGTACTGGGCCAGTAGTAAGCCCTGAGCATCATTGGGTGTGGCCCTCTTCAAAAAACAAAAAAAGATAAATAAAACTAATTATTTAGAATGGTTACTTTAGGAATTGGAACCGAATTTTTTTAATTTAAAAATTATGCTATCTTTTTAATATAAAAGAAACTATTAAATGGCTCAAGCACTTTAAATATTGTAAGTTAGTTTAATTGTTACCTAGTTAAGTTCTTTGAAAACACTTCCTCTAACAATACCTAAAATCCTGACTTGGAGTAAACTCAAAGATAAGTACACGTTTGCCTTTTTTTGGATTCAGTAACTTACGATAACATCCCTGTCTTTTCGCCTTCAAATTTCTTTTGATATTCTCAAAAGCATCTGCCTCTGTATTTCTGCTGTATTTTGGTTTCTTTTCCTTTATAATAATTAAAGAACTTGCTTCTTCACTGGGTAGTGGAAAGTTTGCTGTTTACATGTGGCAAGAAGAAAATCCTGGGGCAGTGGGAAGCATCTTAGTCTTTAAAACCCAAGAAGACCAGAGAGGGATGCTCCCTGCTGCCCCTAAACCTCACTGAGACTTACCAAACTTTGAGTAAGTCCTTTCACCTTTCTGAAACTCAGGAAAATAAGGAATAGCTACCTACCTGTGGTGCTGTAGCCAGCTTAGTGCCGTAACAACGCTTGGCACATATTAATAGGTTTACTGCTCATTTCTTCTTGCTTTTATAAAACCATTACATCTTCCCTGAAGAGTGGGACTCTATTTTTTTTCTTTTTGGGTCATGCCTGGTGATGCTCAGGGGTTACTCCTGGCTCTGCACTCAGGAATCACTCCTGGTGGTGCTTGGAGGACCATATGGGATGCTGGGAATTGAACCCAGGTCAGCCACGTGCATGGCAAACACCCTATTCGCTGTGCTATTGCTCCAGCCTGGGACTCTAACGTTTGGGTGTGACCCACATATCCACCAAGATCTTTGAGCTACTTAGGGATTAAATAGCTTAAGTATACTTAAGTTATTTAAGGATACTTAACTGTTTCTTAGGTGTTCCATGAAAAATAAGTCACTTTAGGTACAAAATTACAAAATGAAGTAATATAGTCGTAGGAGAGACCTGAAAGCAATGAGAGCCATGGGCATGTGGGGGTTCCTTTCTATTCCCAGTGAAAGTCCTACTGGGCAGGAGCCCCTGCTGGCCCATCTCCCCTGTGCTACTTAGAGGTTGACAGGGAGCAAGACCAGCACGTTCCAGTCCTCAGTCTCTAACAGAGTGGAAGCACCCACATGCCCAGGAGGAGACAGACTGAGGGCTCCCTAATGCGCACAGTTGGGGACCATAGATGAGCCCTATGGTCTATTCCTTTAACTTTCCTCCCCCTCCCCCCTGGAATGGTTAAAATAGTTGTCTCTCTTAGAAGACGCCAGTCAGCATTTAATGCAAAACTAAACAAAATCTACACATTTTTCCCATTTATACGGCCCAACTAGGTGTGCCAAAGGGCAGATACAAATAAAGGGGTCTGGCGTGATAATACAGAGGGGTGGGGAGCTTGCCATGCTTCCCACCCCCCATAGAGCCCGAGCACCACAGCAATGGTTCCCGAGTGCAGAATGCAGAGTAAGCCCTGAGAACCATAAGGTGTGCCCCCCCCAAAAAAAAACAAAACAAACGACATTTTCGTGGAAGTTTAAGGGTTTAATAGATCATATGACCCCGGAGAGTAAATCCAGTGGACACTCAAAAACCACCAGCTGCATACGTCAGATCTCTCAAAATTCTCCAGCAGCTTGAGAGGGTGATGGTGGCTAATTTATTTTTAAAATTGCCGTTCCTGGTAGAACTTTAGTCCCCGCTCCTCGCCTTTCAATCGATTGCCTTAGAGTTGCTGGTCTACAACTTTATTAAGTGAGGTTTCTGCAAAGGGCATCATTCAAAATGGAATCGTGTGTTTGCTTTCTCTTCTCCAGTTTAATCAAGATGCTGACCTCAGAAACAAGCTCAAACTGCAAGCTTTAATTTATCCGGTTCTTCAAGCTTTAGATTTCAACACGCCCTCCTACCAGCAGAATGTGAACACCCCCATCCTGCCCCGCTACGTCATGGTCAAGTACTGGGTGGACTACTTCAACGGCAACTATGACTTTGTCCAGGCCATGATGGTCAACAATCACACGTCACTTGACGTGCAAGAGGCCGCCGCTCTCCGGGGCCGTCTGAACTGGACGTCACTCTTACCTGCGTCCATCACAAAGAGCTACCAGCCCGTCATGCAGACCACCGGCAATGCCAGGATCATCAAGGAGATCCCTCAGCTGTTGGACGCCCGGTCTGCCCCACTGATTGCAGACCAGGAAGTGCTGCAACACCTCCCGAAGACTTACATCCTCACTTGTGAGCATGATGTCCTCAGGGATGATGGAATCATGTATGCGAAGCGTCTGGAGCGTGCCGGTGTGGAGGTGACCCTTGATCACTTTGAGGATGGCTTCCACGGATGCATGATTTTCACCAGATGGCCTACCAACTTCTCGGTGGGAATCCGGACTAGGAATAGTTACATCCGGTGGCTGAAGGAAAACCTGTAAAGGAGTCACATTTCTAGAATGCTTGAGCCCCTCTTGACCTTCTGTACCTGCTTTGGAAACACATGCATCTTAGTCCACTAATTTCCCCCTTGTTACTCACGACTTGTGGAATCTCTACTTCCTCTGGACTTTATGCCGATTTTTAAAAAATTTAATACGTTGCACTAACTGAAATGCAAAAAAAAAAATGAATCTGGTTCTCAAAGTGGGCCAGTCTCTCTATTCTTGTTTTAGCCAAACTACTGCTAATACTCACAGCTGGAGAAAGCTAGAACAGGAACTGGGACTACAAGATTTTGGGGCCCTGCCTGTGTCAAGAAGTTCTTTTCAGAAGAAAAATTTCCAGCTGTGGGTGGTGAAATAGTGACTCTAATAAGTTTAAAAAACATACGTGGGCTCTTCTTCAACTTGCTAGAGTTTACTAGGAGTTCAGAGCAGTGTTCAGTGGGTGCGCTTGAAGGTCAGATTTGGGTCCCAAGTGTCCTCTGTTCTTTATGGATGGATGGTTTTTGTTTCCTATGGGAATTTTGACAATAACATTCTAGCAAGGACATCTTTCTCAAAGGACTTCTTTCCTTTATTGTGTTTATGAGATGGCTTATCCGTCCAACTGGATGATGATGATACTTGAAAGTTACTTTCTGCCACTCTTACTAGAAAATGTGAGGTTGCATGCACTGGATATCTGTATCTTAGTACTTTTTTTTTAGTTATGTTATCCCCTTGAGTGAGATCTTTTAGGAGTAAGTTTATTTAGACTTAGAGTAAATCTTCCTGTATAGAAGATGAAAATGAAATGCTAATAGTTTCCTAATGAATATTTCTGACATAAAATTATCAAGAGCAGTATAAATATATTTGACATAGAAAAGAAAGTATACTTACTATTGGTATAAAATTATAAAAGTTACTTTCTGAGGTCCTAGATCTTGGAAACACAATTTTTTCATCTACTTGGATTTAAAATGGAGCTATTTTGGTATGTACAATGTGTTGTTTATTTTCTAAAGTTATTTAATGTTAATATATGTCACTAGACTTAAGATTTTTTCAGGATAATATCTGCAATGAACATTATTAAAACTAATGATCTTTTTAAACAGCTATCTTAGGGTTTAAAATGTGATCCTAGAATTATACCCTATTATAATTTTATGAAAATATTGAACAGCTATTATACTACTATATACTAGGCCTAAATATTTTTGTTTATATGCATATGCAGATTAAATATTAGAAACTATAGCAACATTTCATAAAATCCTCTAAATCCGATAGCTTTGGATACACTGCTCATTTCTGCTCTGTCTGGTCAGAGGAATACTAGCTGACCTGTTCTTCTGGCTGACCAGCATGCATTGTCCCCTGGGGCCCTCATGCCTCTTTGTCCCTTTCTAGCCCCGTTTAGAATTTTGCATCATCCATATTCACTGAGCTTCATGGGAAGCCTTCACTGCCAGTGGGAATATTTCTGACACAGCACAAACCTTGAGTGTGATTTGAGTTGACGACCTCTGCCCCTTTTTTCCCTGTAGCTCTGACTTCTGCTTTCTGGGATTGCAGAGAAGAGCAGTAGTATGGTCCAGTAACACACACGTGAAGAGAAAGTAAAACCCTTCTTTCTCATTGGAAAGATTTTAGGGCTGGAGTAATGGTCAACTGGTAGAGCACTTGCCTTTCATGCAACTAACCTGGGTTCGATCCCCAGCATTCCATAGAGTCCCCTAGCACTGCCAGGAGTAATTCCTAGTGCAGAGCCAGGAGTAAACCCTGAGCACTGCCGAATGTGGCCCCAAAACAAACTTTAGAAAAAAATAAAGTCTAAAGAAATGGAATATTTTATGCGCTTGGCAGTAAAATAAACATATGCATACTTATTTTTTATTTACTATATATGTCAATATATAGTAAATTTTACATACAAACCAGAAGTAAATGCAGCAATGTGTGTATGTGTGTGCATATGTGCGTATAGATTCATGCAGATTAACTTGCTAATGTATTGAGGCAAGTCACATATCTCTGTTTCCTTTTCCTTTCTTCTAAAATCAGTTGAATTACTTGATTTAAAAACTTTGACTATTTTGTCACGCTGACCCATTATATTGATCTATTCAATGGTAGTTTTAAAGTCCTTATTTCATATGCACAACAGGCATCTCAAAGATTTGTCCTTAAAAATGGAAATTTTAGTTTTTACTGTTAGTTGCCCTACACATTTAGTGTTATTTATTTTGACACCATTGAAGGAACCAATGTTTGAACCTTATTTTGAGGCTATCTACCTCTAAGAAAGCAAAGATAAGATTTTCCATGCATAGTTCCTTAAAGTGGTATTTCCTGCCCTATTCCCCCAAACCCCAGAATTGTGAGCCAAAAATCCTATAGCAATTACAGAAAACAATTGAATCCAGATCTCTAAAGGGCTCTCTCCAGTAAAATGGGGAGTTAAAAAAAAGGGATCAACCACTGTTTCTGATGAAATACTTGAGTTTCATGGAAGTTTTTACATATATGAATAAGTTGTCTAATCACCTGCACTATATTCCACCTCAAACTCTCTAATAAAATGAAATTCTTGTTGGAATCATAGCAATCAAAAATCATGGTATACAAAAGAATGAGTTTAGACTAACCAAAACCAAGTTAAAAAGAGTTTAGACAAATTTGAGTGCTAATCCTCCTTTAGGAAGTCTACAGAATTTATGTTCAAGATATCTTGTTTTGGGACAACTTCATTTTCTTTAATTTTGATACAAAGTAATTTTTATGCTCTGCAGGTTGATGTCTCTTTAGTTGGTATAATGATTTGGTTTGATTTTCCTTATTTTTTAAAACAATTGTCTTTGTAATCACTCTTTGTGAACTATGAACAAATATATGAAGAAACTCTTGAAGTGCTGCAAAATACAGTGAAGTGTAGAATAATGTTTTATCACTGTTAAATATTTGTTAAAATTTTAAGAACATTATATAAAAATTATCTTGGTGGATAATAATATTTTGTGCATGATCTTCTAATCTTTAACTATTTCCTCATTTCCCACTGCAAAGGGGAAAGCAGATTTTATGGATCTTAATAGCTAATATATTTTGTAAGGTGAAAATCCAGTGTGGATGTAGGCAAGTATGTATATTTTGCCTTGTGTTTTAAAATAAAAGGGTTCCATCTGGAAATGTGCCTCTTACCCCTTGTCTCATTATCTGGTCCTCATTGCTCACTTCTCTGTATCCCAGACCACTAGCCACAGTTCTTTCTTAATCTGCCCTCTGGAGCATTCCTGGTACATTTCAGGTGGTTGAGTGGCCTCCGTGACGAGCTGTGTTGTCTTCCTGGACTCAGTTCCAACAGTTCCAATGAATATAGGTAGAGACTTCCATATACCAACTCAGTCAGAGAGTCCAAGAATTCAAGTCAATTTAGCAACTCCCTGGCATTCTCTACCTGGAGAGATTCCATAATAAGGAGCACCGTCTTCCAAAAATGCCCTCCACTTCAGATCCCAGCCACAAAACCCAGAAGTTCTCTGTGCTTCTAGTGGAAGATTGGCGGTTTCCTTGAAGCTTTCCTCAGACTTCAAGAACCCACTGCAAACCAGATTGTTACCCAGCACGACTAACTTTTTACAAATCTAAGGTTCACAAGACACCACCCTCAGAGTTAATTTATTGGCTAAAAGAGCCCATAAAAGTCAGAAACATTTTTACTCATCAGAGCACTGATTTATTTCATGATATTTACTTTGATCAATGTTTGAACCTTAATTTGAAAGGTAAAGAGTAACTCTAATAAAGCAAAGGTAAGATTTTACATGCACCATTCCTTAAGTATGCATATATATTATAATGTTATATCTACATAGACTATATTATGTAATTCTCTGTCTATTTCTCGAGATAGAGAGATATATAGATATAGAGTCACATAGGAGAAATTATAACAAAAAGTTCTTGAACCTTTTTTTTTAATTTTTAATTTTATTTTTATAAAGTTGTTCACAATAACTTATTACTTCAATATTCCAACACCAATCCCACTACCATTTACCTTTCCACTACCATTATTTTGAATTTTTCCAACCACCACCCAAAGCCTGCCCCAATAGCAAGCCCTAAATAATTTATTTTGTATTGCTTGCTATAAATAATCTGCTAAAAATGATCAAAAAATTTTTCCTTAGAAGAAAGTATGTGAAGATTATTGTGTCTCATCCTGGAGCTATTAAGCCCTATCTAAGCGATTACTAACATGCTATTGCCTTCTGTGCTAATTTTTTTTTACTCGAGATTGGTTGCCTTCTACTTTACACCACATTGGATGTGGTGTAAAGTATGAGATGTCGCTCCAGGAATTCTAAAATTTTAAACAGGGTGATACAGCTGGAGTTAAATTTTTAACTGGATGGTGACTTTGGGACCTGGAGGCATCTATTCAGCTTGTTGGTATCTTCCAAGATTTATTTGTGAGACTCTGGATCATGGCCATTAATGAGCTTATACAGCACCAGAGGCGGTTTGTGGGTATGACTGCCAGACTCTCGGAAGAACAGGGGAATGGGGGGAGTTGGCCCATCCCTGAGTCCATGAAAGCCTGGATATTTCGGTCACAACCCTGCATGCCTGAGTTTTTCAATAGATTCACTCATGGATGAGGTTCATTCGAGCCTGTGGAGATCAGGATGAACATGGTGGCAATTGGGTCCTAGAGGGTTTCCGCTGCTGCGGCTCTTCTTGGGCAGGAGGTAGGTTCACCCACGGCCAGCTTGGAGCTTTCTTTTCCTCTCCAGGAATACCATTCTTCTCAAATTTCCATGTTTTACAAATGCAGAAGCTCTCTGAAGCTCTCTCTTTTGGACTTTCATGGAGATGTCTTTATAGAGGCATGACTGATTAATTCATTGGTTATAGGCAATTGCACTCAAACTCCAGCCCCTCTCTCTTAGGCCAGGGGTGGGACCAGAAGGAGGTTTCGATCTTCTAATGACATGTTTGGTCCTCCTATCAGCCTCTTTTTCAGATGCTCCCTAGGATGTCACTTTACTACCAAGAAACAGTTTATTATTCTCCAGAATTTGGAAATTACAGTGCTCTAAATGGGCCACCTCCCCCCATTCCTCTGTTCTTCTGTTCTCCTGTGAATCAGGAGAGTCAGGAACTGTGGATGATGACCAGATGTCTGTCTGTATATAAGAGAAATAGTATTTTGGTCATCTGAGTGATAAAATGATCTATTTCCTCTGATTCATTCTCACAATGCATTCATTTCACATCTGGATAGAGTATGTGAGTTTTGCATTCACATCTGGATGCAATGCAAGTGTGTTGTATTAAAACAAAAGTTTATAAAAGTTATGCAGGCCCTGAGACTATTTTGGCACTTTCAGTAAGCTACACACATTTGGAAGGGGTGATCTTAGTGCAAACGAGTTTATGTATGAGCCAGTTTAGCAAAAGAATATCAACATTACTGAATGAAAGTTCTCCAGTTGACACTGTTGTCACAGCAACTCTCATCACTTCATACTTGAGTTTGTTACAGTTTTATTGTTACTGTGAGAATTTACAAAACCTTTTCAAAGCGAATCATTTGTTTAGATCCTACATGGTCATATCCTTGTGTGAACTAGATTTTCCTACTCAGTTATACTCACTCTTCTTTAACAAATGCTCTCATTCTGATTGCTTTATTTTTTGTCTCATGTCCAATTATTTAACTACTGTGCCACCCTCATGATAGCAGGGACTTTATCTTGTCCATTCCTTGTTCTCTTGCATTTAGAACAGAGTATGCAGTGAATTTTCAAAATGGTTTTTGACTCAAATTCTTTGTGAAAAAAAAATGAGCGTATAGGGGTTTAGGAGTTATTTTCTATGTGTATCAACTTATGTCAAATATAAACTTGATTTTAAGAAAAAAGCTGAAAATTTTATTTATTTTTTGTAGGAGTTTGCTGTTTATTCAGCCATTGATTAGGCCAATTGAAAAAAAAACTCCACCTTACTTTTTCCCCCCTTTTTTATAATTATATCTATTGAATCACCATGAGAGCAGGAACAAAGCTTTTGGGTTTAAGTCTCAGTCATACAATGAAACACCATCCCTTCACTGGTGCCCATTTTCGACCACAAAAAAACCCAGTATACCCCCCATCTCACACCCTCCCCCTACCTGTGGGGCAGATGATTTCCACGTTACTCTCTACTTTGATTACATTCAATATTTTGACACCAGACCCACCATTATTATTTGGGATTTTACCCCAACACTCAGATCTGCCGAAAAGGCAACAGTAGACAATTTGTTTTCTATTGCTGTTATAAATAACATATGATTTTGGAATTCCAAAATTTTAACAATTAAATCTGGAGGGATTTCTGCCAAAACCTTATGGGTTCCGAGATTTGTTCCTGAGTCTCTGGGATCATGGTCGTTAAGCAGCTTGATTAGGAGCCAGAGAGGCCATTTGTGGGCGGCAACTCGGGGTCTCGCTGGGGCGGGGAGGAAAAGGCCAGCTCCACCGCCATCCCATGAGGTCCTGCATGTCTTGTCTCTGCAGATCAAAAACTGACTGTCCAGTGGCCTCTCAAGGATGGCGGTCCCCAAGCCGCCAAGGGGGAGCAGGTGGAGGGACAACACCCTTTCCCGCTTGGGATGGTCCGGCTGGTAGACCATTGTGGGGACCACACGCATCTCTGCTAAAAGCCGCTGGGTTCTGAGATTTGTCTCTGAGTCTCTGGGATCATGGCCATTAAGCTGTTTGATCAGGAACCAGAGAGGCCTTGCCTCCTATTATATAGCTGAGCCAGAAGTGGTTTGTGGGTGTGTCTCCCACTTACCTTACTTTTGACCATTTACTGTCTTGGTAAACTTTGCCCCAAGCTTTTGGGGTCTGGCCAAAGGCACAGCAGCAATTTTGGGGTATCTGGAAGCCTGAAGGTGCCATCAGGGTGCTGATGCACTCGCCTCACAGGCACAGATTGACCTGCTGGTGGCACTATGGCCCCAAGCTGAATATTCTAATCAAAATAAAATATTCAAACTAATTTTATCTCTCTTTGCAGGTGTGGGGTGCTCAGGGCTTACTCCTGGCTTTGTATTCTGGGATCATTCCTGGCTATGCTCAAAGGACTATATGTGATGCTGGTGGATTTAACCAGGTTTAGTCATATGGAAAACAAGCCTTGTATCTTTGTATTCTCTCTCTAGCCCTCTAGTTCTATTTTTAACTGTAGCACCATAGCATCGGTGCATTAACATACGCCTCAGAACACTAGATGAAGGACATTTGCACGAGTGGGCCCAGTAATGTCTTCCATTGTGAGACTTATTGTTACTGTGTTTTTTAACTACTATACAGAAAAAAAATTTTTTTGAAAAAAAATAAAAATTTTTCTTCTTCCTGTAACTCAAATCACACCTGCATTTAAAAAAAAAAACAGTATTGAGGGGCTGGAGTGATAGCAGAGCGGGTAGGGCATTTGCCTTGCACGTGGCCGACCCGGTTTCAATTCCCAACATCCCATATGGTCCCCCGAGCATTGCCAGGAGTAATTCCTGAGTGAAGAGCCAGGAGTAACCCCTGTGCATTGCCGGGTGTGACACCCCTCTAGAAAAAAAAACAGTATTGAGGTTTTTGCTACGTTAAATAATGCATACACTGTGTCCTGAATCACTTGATCACTTGACTTCCCGTTAATCATCAATTTGCTGGAGCGGGGGCAGTAACATCTCCATTCATTCCTGTCAGCATGCTATTGTAGACCAGTGGCATCTGTTTGTTTTAGGAACACAAAGAGCTTAAATCGATTGTTCAGGGTCTTGATGAAGAAGTCTGACCATTTTGTAGGTGGGCAGCCACGTGGTCTTTTGACATCCTGTGGAATCCAGTTGGTAAGGGCTCTAGTCCAGCAGTCGTCTCCAAATCTCATTACGTGTCAAGCCCATCTGATTTTCGATGCCTTGGCAAAAGAGACAGCGTCCCTGATTCTTGATCGTCGACAGAGGTCAGAACTCCAGATTCTTTCTCTCATTTGAGTGAAACGTGATATCCAAGCATAGCTCTTTTGATCCCTCTTTTGATACACCATGTCCTGAAAGAATGACTTACCTAATATAGTCCAAAGTGTTCGGTGGAAAACAATTCAGGGTTGGAAACTTTGAGCAATCTAGCAACTTTATCA